TTCTTTTTGGCATTTTAAAAAATTGTTTTGAAAATACTCAAAACGCTTTTTGAAAATTTTGACTTGATTATAACTTAAAACACTCAAAACGACAAATTTTTATTTTTGGGCTTTCTTTGTAATTTTTTAACTTATTTTCAAAAACGCGTTTTCGAAAATATGAAAGAGAACGCATTTTCACTATTTTGAAAAGTTGAAAATAGAAAACGATTTAAAAATAGTAAAGAGAACATGCCCTAAGATTTTATATAGTATTGTTAACAAGTAAAAAGATTAATTTACCCTTCAAGATAAAAATAATTACTAATGTGCTTGTCCAATTAGTGTCAATTCAATTTTGGCATACCTTTATAAAAGGTCATACTTTTTTGTTAAAAAATGGGGAAATAGCCGAAGAAACAGGCTCAGGGCCTTTTACAGGGATGGATTGGTAGTTTTTAATTGACAATTTTTTCTAATGTTCTTTGTGCAATATTAAGTTATAACATTGGGTTATAATCTCTCACAAGAGAGGTGGGCCCACTATTATTTTAATCATGAGCCACCTTCCTTGTGAGGGGTTGTGACTTAGGCTCTGTCTGTTAGCGATTTTCCATGGATCTTCAGCAGGGACCGTTAGTGGGGCCTGACTGAGAGAGTGGCAGTCAATAAGTGCGGTCCAACGGTAAGAATTTGGATGAAAATCTGGCCAAAAAGTTTGGTGTGTTGTAATCTATGTATTGTATATGTAGCATGATGGTTAATTTTTTTAACTGTAAAATTTGCGTAGTGTACGTTTGCCAAAAATCATGTAACCCGTTTTTCTAGCAGAATTGTAAAAAATGAAAAAATAAAAAAATCATCGTGTTCCCGGATATTAGCAAGCATACATGCGGTCTCTGAACCCCTGCTAGCAACATCGTGTTCCCGGATATTAGGGTATTGGGAGCTTAGAGAGAGTGTGAATGATTTATTTTCATCACATGATTTCATCTTCTCCCTTTGTTGCTGAGAGCTGCGGAATTCCAAAATTAACAAGTCCAATATGGGGAAGATGTAATCAACGCAGCATCAAAATACCCTTCAATTCCGGGATGTATTATTTTTTTCTGTTTTCTTGATCACTGTATATAGTTACCTCATTTTTCTTAGTATTCACTTAATGAATTCATCTGATTTTCCCAAAATTTCACCAGAAACTATTGGGGCCCTTCTTACAGCCATTCTCATTCAGGAAGGCAGCAAACTCCTAATTGGAAATTTTCAGCGAAAAAGAGAATGAAGTTTTGTGTAGTGAAATTGAGTGAGGAGAAAGTGCAAATTTCAAAGGAAAAAGGAAGTATTGCTGGTGCAGTTGCTCTCATCATTGGAACAAGTATTGGTTCTGGGATTCTTGCTCTTCCAAAGAAAACTTCCCCTGCGGTAACTTTAACTACTTCAGGAAAGAAATTCTGTTTAAAATTTAATAATTTTTATACAAATTATTGATCCAAGGGGCGTGGAAACACCAATTTTTACCTTATGTGTAAAAGAAGGCGAAAGGGTAAATTCTTTTTAAATGTTGAGACCGTATATGTTCCATATTGAACTAATTTTTCTTTTGATTTGTTGTAAGACTGATCAAAACTAGAGGATCCACGTATTTCATCCTTGTAATGGAAATAAATATTTCCTGTTATTGTAAGAGTTGAGAGCAAGCCCGCCCCAAGTTTGGGTAAATGAGGAGGTTGCATTTGGTTGACAGCCAGCTTAAAACGATTCATGTGGCCGACTTCAAATTTATTGAGAAAAAAGCTTAATTTGTTGTTTTTTGATTTTTTTCTTAACTATTAATAATTCACAGCATTAAATTCATCAGATGTAGTTAATGCATTCATTTTGGTTGGGATAAAAGGAAATGAGTGAAGTTCAGTTATGTGGTGCTGATAAAAGTTTTGTATTTGCATTTTGTTAACTCTTGCCATTATTTTGTGTTGCAGGGACTACTTCCGAGTTCAATATCGTTGACAGTATGTTGGGCTTTTCTATTAATTGAAGCTTTGTTATTGGTTGAAATTAATGTGTGGTTGCTAAGAAAGAAGAAAATAAGAGTAGATGAGGATGAATTAGAGGTAATATCCATAAGAACCATGGCTCAAGAGACACTAGGAGAGTGGGGTGGAGCTTTGGCGACGGGGACCTATATATTCTTAGGTTACACTTCTATGATCGCGTATAGTTCCAAGTCTGGGGAGATCCTTTATCATTTAATCAATCTTCCCAAATCAGTTTCTGGAGTTCTCTTCACTGCCTTTTTCTCGATTTTTATATCTGTTGGAGGTACACAAGCTACTGATCAAGTGAACCAATGGCTAACGACATCCATGATAGGTATCAGGACTAGTTCAAATCATAGCTTGAAACTCTCAGCAATTTCAAGAAAGAATTACGTATTTCAAGTATATTGAAAAATTCTTTTGGCAGCTCTATTGTTACTAATTAGATTTCTCCCCTTATCCTATTGATATGTTATCCAATGTTGAAACAGGTTTGCTGATATCAATTGAAGTTCTAGCTATTGCATTTGGAGGATGGCCAGGCACCGAGACAAGTGGTGACTGGGAAAAGGTTCCAGCAACTATTCCAGTAATGATATTTTCTTTGGTTTATCATGATCTTGCGCCTGGTGAATATTCTTCGTTCTCTGCTATCACGTTTTCTCTTTTTACTCAAGAGTGGATGATCTTGGACGAATAAGAATGAGTGAAACTTTTTTCGGGTTTAATCACATTGGATCTTTTTGCAGTTCTATGTGCTTATCTGGGAGGCGATCTTAGGAGAGTAAGGACTTCAGTTTTGCTTGGTAGTGTCATGCCATTGGTGGCATTGCTTGTTTGGAATGCAATAGCACTTGGCCTCTCAAGCCAGGCAAACGAAGTTGCTGATCCTGTGGAATTGCTTATGAGGTAGTTCATTTTCACTTATAGATTCATCCATTAATCAGGAAAACAGTTTGGCTAATCGGTTATTGCTTGTTAATGTTTCTAGTTGAAATTTCTGGATCTTTCTCGTGTCGAGTGGTGTCATCCCTGTTGAATAGAGTCCCAAAACAGCATGCTGCTTACAGGACTGGGTTGGCTTGGGTTTTGTTGTTGTGGCTTAGTCTGCCACATTTCTCTGTGGTCCATCTTGGCTGTAGGCCCATCCCGATGTTGGCCTGGCAGCGAAAGACCAATTATTGTCCATAATTTATTTTTCATATCAGCTTGCCTTTTGTTCTTATTTAGTGCGAGGTGGAGTGGAATTTCATTCATGGTGGAGGCCTTTTCACTTCTGGCTATTGGAACTTCTCTAATTGGCACTATTTTGGGTTTCTCCGAGTTCTTCAAGGAACAACTTAATAATTTGTTCTTGCATCCCCCCTCGACACAACTTTTAGAGGTAGCTCGTATTTCTTCCAAATATACTGTGAATATTATCCTCGCATCTATGCCAATATATACTCCCTAATTTATGGTGATTTACTGTAGCAGAAATCAAACTTGCTCTATTATTGGTGGAGAAGAAATAGGACAAGCTTAACAGCAACAGCTATGGTCATTGCTCCATCTCTTCTTGTATCAACAACAGTACCAGATGCATTTTCAGGAGCCACAGATATTGCTGTAAGTTGAAATTAGCCCCCCTTCACAACCTGGTGCTAATAAGTTTGGCATTTCAAATGGAATTCGTAAGGTTAGTTTTGGAACAGGGAGGCTATTGCATGACAATGCTATATGGGGTTCTTCCCCCGGCCATGGCGTGGGCAATGAACAAGAAAAATGGTCAGGGCGCTGACCCAACAGCAATATCAAGAGCAGGACCTGCTCTTATTGGTGTAGGATTATTCGCTTGTGGGATCGTGGTGGAGCAAATTCTTCAAGATCTCTCAATGCTGCATTCCTGAGGAAGAAACCAACACCAAATCCACTCAATATCATATCAATTCATGTAGTCGACTCCCAAGTATATAGGAAGAGGCATAGTTTGTTGGGTTGTTTTTGATTGATAGATCAATATGCATTAGAAGATCGGTTCCGTGGACTCACCAACTAGGTAAATGGGGGCCATGAATATCGGTCTTGAAGAGGAGTGCAATGCAATAATGATAAAATCGTACCCCATGTTGATCTTGAAATGCCCGCCTTATGGGTTTACTCTAAGCACCTTCCTCTTACAAGTTGATTTTAAAGGTGAATTCTACCTATTTAGCTGCTAACAGGGCGACCTGGGACCATTCTACAAGTATTTCTTTGGAGTAACTTTATTGATCTTACTCAATTGTATCTAAATTATGTTTAATATTCGCCAAGCTAAATCGACTAGCTTCCATAGAAACAGTTTGTGCGTTTGGAAAGATCATACTGAACAAAACTATACAACTAACATAAGAGCTTATTCAATCAAAGGGATTCACTTACACGACACAAATATGCTAAAATACAAGTCTAACAAGAGTTTCATTTGCCATAATATCCATCTCAAACTAACACAAGGAGAGCGCTCAAGAGTCTCGATGAACTTTGCTTAACCAAGATCTTTTAGTTCTTTACAGTTGTCACGTGCCTCAGAAGCATTTGGACAACGTCATGGGAAATTCTTGAAGCCTCTGTCTTCAGATGTTGGATCTTTGCATCGGTTTCTCGTTCGAGGCGCTTCACGTTAGCACCCGAGTCTCCACTACTCTGTTCGATAGATAGAGCATGAGACAATGAAAAAACAATAAGAAATCTAGAACTTTGTTATGAAACTATTGATTACAGAAAACACTAGCCAGAATCAGGTCAATCATGCTATAATAAAACAATTTGGATCATTATGCTTCAATGTGTAAACCAAATTACAGTTTTAGGACGGCATAAAAGGTAAATGTTATTTTTACTTCACCTCTGCCACCTTCCTCTGAAAGTCAGCTTCCATTTGAGCGCGGAATTCAGCAATCTCCTTCTCAGCCTCTTCTTTTGCCTGCTTCAGTCTAGCTTGTTTTGCTGCACACGAAGGCCACAGCACATTAAAATCACTAGTTCAAGAATTTATTACATGCAGAATTTGCTTCTCCCAAGTAAAGCACAAATAAGCCATAGCCAATTTTACTCATACTTTCGAGCACAATGGGGCTTGTCAAGGTTAGTTTATAGACTAAGGTCCATACACGTGTTGAGACTCTAGCTCGAGATCAAGCCATTTAACGTTTTCTACCCAAATAGATAAAAAGAAAAAAAAAATCAAATATGGGATCTATTATACTCATTGAAATAATTGACATTTGATTTTTGATTTTTTACTTGTTAAATATTAACATATTTCAAAGAAAGATTATTAGCCACAAACCAACCCTTCAAGTTTTTGCCTGAAATAGATTGAGGCCAGTAAACCTGGATCAAGCCTATCTGAAAAGCCGCTACGTAGGCTGACTAGCTCAAACCTAAGGGCAATGCAGGCACAACAGAAATGTCTCATTCAAGGACAATGCAATGCAAAAGATCTCTAAAAGTGGCTATTAGGTTTATCATTCGTTTTACAGATAGCGCAAGAACTCGTGTTATATTGCACAATATTTATAATTAAGTTATTCAGCTATGATAAATTCAACATTTCATATTTTAATTACAACACAAGCCACCGCAAATGACAAGAATTTCAGGTTGAGAATTATGCATGCTTTTCTCCACCAGTCATTTTTTGAGTGAAGCATAACAAAAATCAGCGTCACGAGACATTTACAATAAACTAAAAAATTTGCTTTCCATCGTACTTTTTGTCCCTCTCACATTTTCCTTCCAACCAAAAGGTGAAAAAAGTCTTCCTGGAACTGAAATCTATAGGTCATCATGATATGTGATATAAAATATGCAGAGAAATACTATGAAATTTCCAGTAATAGAGTCTTCATCAATTTATTCAGTCCCTCTATTACAAGGAGTGCCAATTTTGATAGTGTGAAAGAACCAATTGGATAGATATGTGACAATGACGTTGAAGAGATAATCACCAGTTCTAGCAGCATTGACAATATGTTGAGCTTCTTGCTCAGCAGCTAATAAGAGTTGAATTCCATTCTGACCGCTGCTTGATGCCATGCTGTAGTATTTCAGTTGCTCATATTATAAAGGTGATGTAGCAATTGAATAAAATACACATCAGAAGAATGAATACGATGGAGAAAAAAAAAAACACCCAATCGGACGATATGGTGCTTGAGAACTTAATTCTTAGCACTTCCAACATCAAGAAAACGTAAAACATATGTTAAAATACAATGGTGTCAAATAGTAGGATTAAAAGAAAGATACTATATCTAAAACCGTTTTTGACTCCATAAGAGTAAAATGTCCACGTTTAACATCTTTATCAAATGTTAACAGCTTTAAGATTAACCTCTGAATAAAATCTCCTTTCTCACTTTACTTAGCCAGACGTATATATTAATCACTATTGTTTCTTTAAATAACTCCACAAGGAGTGCATTACCTTGGCCTTCTATTTTTATTTTTCTTGCTGTTCAAGCACGTTCATCCAGCCATGGAAATCATTTCACAATATTAGAAATGATATTTTACTTCTTCACTATGAATTCTAAATAATGTATAAGAGTTTTCTCTTTAACTAATACTTGTATTTGTTTCTTATCTCAGAAGCTGTCGTGTAATATATGAGCATATTGACTTGTGTTTTCAAATTAAGGTACCCCATCAAACTTATATTCAGAATACTCAACATTTTTTTAATCACTAGGATTCAGCCATTTCTTCTTTCATGATATTTTTAAGTAAGAAGACAGCAGCATTTTGAGATCATCTGATCAACTCCTTGAATTTTTATCTTTGTTTCAGCTTAATTAGTTAACTATCAGAGCACACATTCTATGTGTATGGGACTCGATCAACATCAGTACTCAAATTGACAAACACCAAAAGTGAAATGAATTGGAAGACTAGTGGGTAAAGTGACACAAAAGGAAGTTCAGCGGATGCAGTGAAATTTGATGAAAGTTTAGTGGTTCCTCCAGACTCTATTTTATGTTCAAAGATGATACAGCTAAGCTAAGCACCTCCCCGAAGATATTAAAAAATATATTTGCATAATTATTGTGAGGTGCTATCTAGAGCTACTAAAGCATCAATATTTGCTTCAATAAAGCGCGGTTTAGAGACTTAAATCACCTATTCAAGAATTCTGAAGGAGAACTTCACCCAACAAAGCATAGAGGATTGGAGAGAGAATTTCTAACATGCGATCCCATGCATATTCTAGGATGCATAAAAGGGGAAGATCATTTTCAGACGAACAGGACAGCAGCTTAGATTTCTAATCTTTTTCTACCAAACTTGAATATTTTCAACGCCTAAATGTGAAATTCTATGAACAAAAGATTACCAATCAGCTCTTTGACACTGGAAGGTACAACAGAGAAAAGACTTTCAGAACATAGCAGTATAAGCATAAAAAGCATGTTTGGTTAAGCTATATTACTTACTCATGATTAAGTTTACATAAAACGAAAAAGGTATATTACTTCTTTGAGGTTTTACCCAAAATATCAGAAAGATTTTTACTTCTAAGGACAAACAAACATGCTATGAAATAAAATTTACTTTAAGTTGTTCCAACTAGGACAAGTGTAGGTCGGGAACCAGCAAATCAAAATTCCTCCCCAACTTGTCTCACTAATATATAAAATACACTCCCTCAGCACGGTCACAAAAGGACTTTGACAGGTGTGAACCCAAGCATCTTGTAGAAAGTAGTAACAGAATTTCTTCTATATTGAATTGAT